GCTTGCTTCCCATTTCTCAAAGTGTGCCCTAGACTAGCACCTCTCGGGCTTTAAGGTGCTTGTGAATCACCTAGGACCCTTGTTAAAATACGGACTCTGAATCAGCAGGTCTGGGAGGGCCTGAGATTCATGATTTTAAGCAAGCTCCCAGGTGATGCCAAGTCTGCAGGTGCCTGGACCACAGCTGGAGGAGGAAGGAAGCTGAGGCCTCTACATGTGTGAGTACCAGGGCCACGAGCTTTTCCAGCAGGGCTGACCGACCACAGACTGCTCACTTATTTCCTTAGATTCCCAAAGAAAAACTCCTTATCTGCCTGTCAGGCATTTACCTCCTACTCAGACCTTCTTGCTCATACAAAAATTCATAGGCTTGGAGATTTCTCTTTAGCTTTAGATTTTTCCTTTATCCAAAGGTGCCCCAGGTATGTCAATGCACACATTGGAGTCCATAACCTGACAAGCTGTTAAACAACGCTGGCTCCTAGGCTCCATCCTGGAAATTCTGGGATTCTGGTTCTATGGACCTGTATTTTTGTTTTGTTTTGTTGTCTTTTTTTTTGGGGGGGGGGTTGTTCTTATTTTTGTGATTAACATGCTCCCTGGGTATTTTCTGATGTGCATTCAGTTTGGGACCCCCTTGATTTTGGCTAAAAAGCTCCAATTTCTTCCACCTCACACCAGGTTGTTGCAGTCATGCAGTCCATGGGCATCAGCCTGGTGTGAGATGGAAGTGTGCATTCTAGCTCACAAACTAGATCCACGCTAGCTCCAGAGCCCAAATCAGTATGCTGACGTGTTTGAAGGGGAAATGGAAGTGAGCGCTGCTCATAATTAAGCATATACTTTTCTGTCTTCTAGATCACAAAAGGAAACATTGAAGTCATAATCATATGACTAATCAGCAAAGGACTAAACCTTGCAGTGAACGGGTAGCAAGAGAGGGAAGACGTGGACACGCTGTTACGTTTACATGCAAGCTAACAGTGGGACACTGCTAACTCCTTCATGTGACTCTGGCCATCATTTTGTTCCTTGTGGCTCAGTTGTTTGTCTCAAAATGAACCCAAAGTGAATCTTGCCAACCATAAAAATAAGCCAGTTCACACATAATGGACACCAGGTAAGTCCTTTTTAAATTGAACTAAACTTGAATCACACCCATCAAACCCACTATCTACGGAGTGGTGAATCTACAAACAAACAAACAAAACAAACAAACAAAACCCCTACAAACCTGTTGAGAGATAAATTCATTTCAAAACCCGAAATTTTTTGGAATTTCTGCATCCAAAATTCTGCATCTTTGAGGAGCAGAAAAAAAATTAAGGAGGAAAAGGGCAAGGTCTGAATTTGTTTCAAAGAGGGGCTTGTTCTTTAAGTGTTGGAGAGGCAAGGGAAGCTCAGAAGAAGAGATAATTGCATTAGGAAACTTGAGCGGGGTGATGAAGGGCCAGGGACTGCTTGATCTCCTGTTTGATTGTTTCAGGAAACTCTTTGCAAAGCTACCTGGATTCACTCCAGAAGGCCACAGTGGTGTGACCTCAGAAAGCAGTCGAAAATATCCCTTGGGTCTTGAAGATACCAAGTCCGTATTCCCCAGTGAATGATGCAGGAACCTGAGTAGAGCAGCTGGGACATGGCACTTCTATAAAAGATTTAAGCTTTGGAGATAGGTTTTGAGTGACTGTTTTATCAACCCTCCCAACGGTGGTGCATAATGAGTGCCATGATGCACTGGAGAGAATGTGATTCCTGACATGCAAGGAGTGCCTTGGGACACCAGCTTAAATGCCTCTAGGAGCCTGACTGAGAGGGCTGCAGGTTTCTGAAAGTTGGGCTGAAGGAGACATCCTGGCCAAAAGCATCCAGTAAGAGTGAATCCTGGTCCCCAGTTACCTTAGTTGCATAGGCTGATAAAAGAGGAGTGGGACAGTAAGCACCAGGGTGTGCAGAACTGAGTTCAAGTTCCAAGAAAGAACCTTTGCAATAATGGGCCCAAGAGGAAGCCCTTAGGCACTGAGCAAAAGTTTGGGTTTTCTGTTTAGTATTTAACTGAGCAGTTTGGCCCATGCCATACACACACTCACACTCACATGCATGTGCACACACACATGCACACACAGTCAGTCCCAGCACCAAAGGCAAACTGGCCATGGGCCAAGAGAGCAATCCTAGACCCTTCTGCCTGTCTTCCATTCTGTCCTCTGGAGAACCAGCTCCATAGAGACTAGAACTGTCTGGCCCCTGCAGGCTCTGTGTTCAGGAAACCCCATTGAGCTCCCTAACCCAGGGAGGTCACTCCATGCCCAAGGATCACCTAATGAAAGCCTCCTGTGCTGACTTTGGCTGCACAGACACAGTCAGGCTAATTCTAGCTGGGCCTTGAGCGGAAGGCATTAAACCAGGGATCCCAGAGGGTCATGTGTGGTCAGACTTGCTCCTAGTCATGGACAGCTGGGATGGATGGAGGCAGTGTCATCTCTCCTGCCACCCCTGATACTCAGGGTCAGGGTCTGGGGGCAGGAGTCACAGTCATCTCACAGCTAAAAATCCTAAGTTCTGGCCCAAACACTCCATCTTTTTGGCATTACCTGCATAAAAATCTCTGTCATTCCACAAGTTTCATACCAAAGAGAAACTTAATTAGGTAGGGCCAAATCTCTGTGGAGAATTCCCAGTTACAGAAGCTGGGAAGGAAGGATATAATTAGAATCTGACTTTTTAAAATAGAACAGCTCAAAAGACCCCATTAAAAGGACACTGAAAAACAGTCCATCAGGTCCTATCTAGAGCCCAGCACCCAGATATTTCACTTCCCAGTGTCTTTTACACAACACTTAAAGACACATTTCAGCCTCAGACTGGGTGTTTTTCACTTAGCTCTTTACACACTCAGGCATTTAATAGATAGTGCAGGCAATTCCTTTTGCCTACAGTGCTGCACTGTTTTCATTTGTTCTGTACTGACTCTTGTAGGCAACAAAACTTCAAAGAAGCTGCACTTCAAAAGTAAGTAAATGTGTTTTTACCTGATGTGGTCATCATGAAACACCTAATGACTTGGGCTTTTGTTAAAGGAACTAATAGAAATTCCCTGCAAGATTTCTTTGTAAGCTCTGCCTTCGAGCACTGGGAGCTGACTAGGGTAAGTTGCAAGTTAAGTGGTGAAATTTGAAGCCTCTTAAACTGCATCCAGTGTGGAGTGTTTGCTGAGTCCTGATAAGCCCTTCCAAAAACCATCACACACCATCCCCTGGGACTCTAGGCCTCATGGCAGAAGATTAACAATAACAGGAAAATTCCCCATGAGCTGAGGTCCAATAAGTGAATTAAAAAGACAGAGGTTGGACTTTGATGAAGACCCTGCAGTCTCCTAAGAGTAACTCCTCCATAATAGCCCTGCTCATTTTTTATTAAATGTTGCTAATTCCGTTTGCTTTTAGTCCATTTGACTAGGTTTTATTACAGGAGTTGTGGGAGGAGAATCAAAGAACAAAACCTTCTTAGTTCTTAAACATGGATATAAATTAAGATTTTTATTATTTTGAAAAGGAAACTTTTTTTTCTGGAAATGTATCTCTGAAATGAGGATGGCAGTAAATGGGAAAGATTTTGCTATACAGTATGTGCTTTGCTCCAGCTTTTCAGAAATACCTCTAAAAATCAAAGCAAAGTCAAATCGAGCCGGCAAAGCTGGGATGATTCACAATGAATAAAAGCTGTAAGGACAAGGCTGGGTCTGCTCACACAATTGAACATTCCTGATACAACACCTTTATCCAAACCAGACAAGAAATGTCCAAGCTGCACTTAGTGGGTGGTGCTGGGGTTCATCCACCATATGAGCACCCTCATTGTTAGTATTCCAACAAGTTCCACAGGATACTAAGAAAGAGTCCATTCTTCCAATTAGCCAGCCGACCAGGCGAACAGCTCCTCACAGGGACCTTGGTCCAAAAAGACATGCCGTTCCCTCCTGCTTTCTTTCACTCAGTCTATACTCCATATTCTACCAAGAGTCCCAAGAGTCCACCACTCTGGGGCCCTTATGCCTGGAATCAAGCTGCTTTTCAAGGGCGGGGAGAAGGGGGTGTTAAGAAATCACAATAAGAAGGCTCCTTCCTCTTTCACCCAAAGCAGGATCTAAACATCAGGAGGGTCACAGCCAGTTTAGGATAGACTCTTAGGGTTTTAGAGTGGAAAATAACCTTAGAGATTATTTAATGCAGTTGTTTTTCAGAATTTTTAAAAACACAGTGAAACTCTTTTCCCATGAGGTTGTGTGTAGAAACCCAGTATGTAAAACAGATAGAAAAGAATCTGTTATAGCCATCCAATGAAATATGATTTGGCAATAAAAAGAGATGAAGTGTTGACACACGCTACAACTTGGATGAACCTTGAAAACATTATGCTCAATAAAGGAAGCCAGGAACAAAGGACCACGTATTGCATGATTCCATTTGTATGATATGTCCAGAAGATGCAAATCCATAGAGACAGGAAGCAGATCGGTGGTTGCCTAGGACTGAGGGATTGGGAAGTGACACCAAGAGGTGTAGGGCTTCTTTTTGGAGTGGTGAAAAGGTTATAAAATCAATTCTGGCATTGGTTGCACAAATCTGTGAATACACTAAAACCAACTGAATTGTACAGGTTAAAAGGGTGAATTTTATGGTGTATGAATAATATCTCAATAAAGCTGTCTTTTAAAAGCACACATAAAAAAACCCAAAACCAACCAAACAAACTTCTCACTGCTCTGCCAGCCAGGCCTCCCTCATCCAGCTCCCTCTACTGGCCCCAGAACCACCTCTGCAGGCCCCAGACCTGTATGGCATGTTGTTTGAAAAACCCTGATCTAGTCCAAGTTTCGACTCTTCTAATGTTAACAGACACAACCCCGAGTCTTTTGACTCCACACACAAGTCCCTCTAAACCAGAAGTCCCACTGATGAGCCGGGCTCATCTCCGGGAGACATCGCCGGGCTGGGGCTCACCGTCCATGTCCAGGCGCTGCATGATGATGGCCAGCTCCACCTCACTCGGCATGTACCCCAGAGAGCGCATGGCCATGCCCAGCTCCTGCTTCGAGATGAAGCCATTTCCATCTCGGTCCAGAACCCGAAAGGCCTCTCGGATTTCTACAAGGAGAAAGCAGAGAAAGTCCAATGGTCACACAGCTTGGCCTAGCGCATTGATATCACTGGTGACTGTCTATGGAAAACTCCTCACTGCTCTACAAATCGTGATACAGCAATATCTTGGTTTGCAAGTAACTTGGTGTGCGAGTGTTCTGCAATACGAGCAAATATTTCTAATACATTTTAACGTGGTAAATGAGCAATGTATTGCAACATGAGTAGTTTGTTTCTGGAACAAATTATGCTCGCAAACCACGGTATTACTGTATGTCAAAACCCTTTCATTCAATAGAAGAGTGGCCAAAGGAGGAACAAAAGGAAAGGAAATAAGAAAAGAAGAAAAAAAAAAGAGGAGAAAATAGGAAGAAAAGAAAGTGGAGGAGAGAAAAGGGGAGGGAAAGAGAGGAGAGGGGGGCAGAGAAAAAGCTTTGGAAGGAGGAGGTGACTGGCCCTGAGCACCCTAAAACACTGCAGTAGAAACACAATAACACAGTGGCCCCAGCAGAGAATCCTGTGAACACAGGACACTTCCCAAGCAGTGAAGAGGATTAGATTTCATGTGTGGGAAAAAAGGCACCGCTTAACTTTGGCCATTAGGAGAAAAGGAGAATGTGATTCCTGTGCAGACTTCTGTTTCATCTTTCTGCTGTGCAGGAAGCTTTTCCACCTCGTAGTAGGATCAGACTTAAGTGTCCTGCTGTTTTTATTTCATTCCTCTAATTTACAGTTGTTTTATGACTATAAACAACCTCAGATCGATGAGTGTCATGAAAGCCCAAAAGACCTCCTTAATCACATTCTCTGGGGCTGGCAGAGAATTTGACTCTGTTATCAATAGGGCCATTTCACTCAGCAGGTGATCTCCCATCCTCTTGCTCTGCATTCCACCCAGTCACTCCTTTCAGAGATCCCTTTGGCCTGTTAGTTCGGGGTTAGCTGAGCATTTTTTAACACACCATGCCCTTTGAGGCATGACATGGTAAATTTGAGACCACAATCTGAAGATGAGAGGTTCCTCAATCATATCTGAGCACCAGACATGGCCAGCTTTAATGTTTCATCAATAAATCTGATGCAAGCCCAGGTGTGGCAGCTGCCAACATTCATCATGCCAGTCAACAAGCATTGGCTATGTGTGCCTGAGGAGCACAGTGTTGGTACCGCAGAGAAATAACCATCATCCACTGTGTGTCGTGGTTTTCCTCCAGAGCCCTACACTCCCATCAGGAAGGGAAGCTTCAGACAGAAATGGCAGGAACTCTTCAAACCAATATAAGACACTTGCTCCTAATCCATTTAGTTATTGCTTCCCTAAATATCTGACCCGGCTGCCATCAAATACTTTGAATCACACCCTTTCCTAAACAGGCTTTGCCCTTTCCTATTTGTATTAATTTCCTGTGGATGCTGTAACAAACCACCACAAACTTGCTGGCTTAAAACAACAAAAATGTATCCTTTTACAGTCTGGAGTTCAGAAATCTGAAATCAGTATCACTGGACCAAAGTCAAGGTGTGGACCGAGACAGTGGAGGCTCTCAGGAGACTTTGTTCCTGGCCTCTCTCAGCTGCCGGTGGCTGCCAGCATTCCTTAGCTTGTGGCCGCATCGCTCCAGTCTCTGCCTCTGTGGTCACACTGCCTCCTCTTTTCTTCTGTGACCTCCCCCTGCTTGCCTCTTACAAGGATACTTGTGTTTGCATTTAGGGACCACCCAGACAAACCAGGATAATCTCTCTCCATCTCAAGATCTTTAACTTAATTATATCTACAGAAACCCTTTTTCCTAGGTAACATTTACAGATTCCAGAGATGAGGACCTGATAATTTTAGGGGCTGTTTTCAGACTACTACACTATCCCCTGAAACACCCTGACTTTCTCCTCCTCTGCCCAAATCAAATTAGTCCTTCAAGGCCAGTCAGGGGCCATGGATCCCACAAAAGTCTTTGTTTACCATAGCCAAAGTCATCTCCCTTCATGCCGACCATTCAGCAGGTCATTCATTCTTTTCACACGACATCTAGCATGATCCATCTAGAAATAGAATGACAAGTGTAGAAACCATGGCTCTTCCTCACACATTTCATTCATCTTTGAATGTTCCCACCCACACTCAGAAGGAGGCACTAGACAAGCAGCTGTTCAGTGGATGGTGGGTCTAAATAAATAAGGATCATATATTGGCAGCAAATTCATTATCAATACTAACTCAGCACACTGAATGCTTTCTGTGAATAAATGTGGGCTCCAGCAGAGAGAAGACCAGCTTGTGAGCTGGGACCCTAGGCTTCTGGCCAGGCATATTAGCTAATTAAGTCTGCAGCCAAACCCTGAGGCCCCATTTTGTGCATATGCAAAATGAGCTGTTTAGCCATGAGGATCCCTAAGGTCCTTCCAGCCCTCCTTTCTGTGGATCTGGAGACATCATTAAAGTGATTAAGAGAAGAACAGGAAGCCTGTATTCTCTTTCATACCCCATTTATCTGCTGTTCAAACACGCTTCTTTTTTCCATTGATGATACAGAAAAAAATTTAATCCAGTCCAAATTCTGAATCAAGGGGTTTGTCCGCATTTTTAGGCTTTCTCATCCATGAAACATGCCCAAGCTCACCTAAAACAGCCTTGTTTTCCTACCAAGTCCCTAATGGCCTGTAAAGAGCTTAGAGCCTATGCCTCACCTTGAGGTCATAGTACACAGCTCAAGGACACCGGGCAAGAGACCACAGGCTCACGTGGGCCCAGATCCCCAGACATCGAGGGCATTAGGATGCAGAGACTGGGTCTCCTGAGGTGGGAGTCAGCCCACAAGGAAGCCAGTCTGTCTCTGCCCTGCAACCTGAGGCAGGCTTTTCACCCAGTCTCAACTTCCCCATCTGAAAAATAAGTTGGGTTGGATCTTTTTCCAGCCTCTATAGCAGGGTTTTACATGGGGCTGGCACACACCATACAACAGGAGAAAATGTCAAATGATGACAAAGCCCCACTTGGGGTCACAGAAGAGGCCAGGACCCCGTGTGGGCCAGCTGGAGGGCCAGCAGCAGGCAGAGCCCTACCATATTCTCTGTACCACTCCTTTCCTAAGGCACCATCTTCACTTCCCATCCCTCTGACTCAATCCTGCACTCTCTGGGCTGTTACTATCACTCTGAGAGGGTGACCCTCTTCTGTCAACAGGGCCTGGTCTCGTTCCTGTGGTCCCCCACATGCCCTAGATCTTACCAACAAATGAGTCTGTATCTCTACACTGGACATCCTGGAGGGGCCTTGTTGTGGGTATTTGAGAACTTGGCATGGAAATGAGGGCCTTGGTATGTGTGCCTGCTGAACCCCACCCAGCTTCCTGGGCTATTCCCAAAGCTGCCTCACCCTGGGGCTACTGGATTTGGCAAGGTAGACCACAGGCGGGGATTATCCCAGCATTGCCTTGCTGTGAACAGACGTGCTCCTTTGAGACCTCAAACCCCCATGGCTTGTCCCCTCAGCAGTAGGTAACCAGGCCAGCTCTGCCCAGCCCAGGACAGGCCAGGTAGCCACATATCAACTCAGTTCTATTTTCTGTGGCCCTCAGGTAAGTGATACAAAGCCATCCTCCTCTGTGTGCATAGAATTTCTGTTCCTGGCTCCAAGGATAAAGCTCACTTCCTTTTCTTTCAAAATAGCAAAGAGTCAAAAAATGAAAAAACAAAACAAAACATGAAACTAGAAAACCGTAATGGGAGCCTCTGGAGAGTTAGGGTAGGGAAAGCCCAGGCAAACGAGAAGCTTATCAGAAGGAAATGGGTCTTGCAGTCTGAGACATGTGATGTGTGCCTCATTGTATTTTTAAGAGCAGAACAGGGTGTAAGAAATATTCCCATAAAACCAGCAGAGACGTGAGAGCAGGCCAGATCCCTCTGCCTCGGGCTATAGGCAGCCTGCTCCTAGTGCAAAGAGGCTCTGGCCACTTTCTACATCTTTGGGAAATGGAGACCACAGATCAAGTTTTCAGGAACAACTCAGTAATGTGGTGTGATTTTCACTGGAATTTATCCCCTCTCTGGGCTACCATCTCTTGTGCTTCAGAGTTATGTAAGCGTGCCATGCTTTGGTCTTTAATTCAGTTTCAGCCTCACACAACACATGCACATCAGGAGCCAGCATGGCAACTCCACCAATCCCAAGATGCCTCAGTGGACCCCAGAAGAGGTGTCTGCGATGGTGATCAGAGCTTGTCCAACAGTCATTGCGTGGAGCATTGAAGGAAACATGATAAGACATATCTTCTAACAAAGAAATCCACTCTCTGCATATGGAACATCCCAGATCCAAAGTCTGCATTCCCACAGGGATGAGTGCTTCTCCTCCTGGAGCAACTCTGATGTCCTGGAGACCAGCAAGGCCTGTATGAGACATGGTCCTCTCTAGAGCCCAAGAGATTTACTTCTCATGATGCCAGCAAGTCTATTTTCATAAAGATAGCCACAGCCAACACTGGTACCACCTGCATCCTGCCCAGCGCCCTGTGAGGACCAAGCCTCGATTCCGTAATGCCCTCTCTGGACATAGCGAATCCAGGCAATAACAAGGGCAAGGGCACACCTCCCACACAGAGCAGACGCCTCAATCAGGCTGCCCCGACAGAGTGTGCACCAGACAAAACCGAGACCCGAGCCAGTAAATATTCATTGGTCAATGGTCTGGCTTTGAAGGCTCAGCTAAGTTCATAGTGCTAGTTTGCCATCTCAGATTAGTATAGTAATTCCCCGACTTACGATCAAGTTTCATTCCGGGAGAAGGTTCATAAGTCGGATTCCTTCCTAAGTCCAACAAAGTGAGTCTTATACACCTTTGACACAAATATACAATGTAAAGTCAATGGTTGAATGATTCATGTTATAAAAACGAGCGACGTCTACCATCTTTTCGCCTAGGTCCAATCTCTCAATTATTTTCACTTTTGTTTCCATGGTTATTGCTTTGCTCTTCCTAGCAGTCCCCTCCACATCACAACTGCTTTTCC